ATATATATATATATATATATATGTATATATATATATACCTTCCATAATTAATCCATTGGTTAATTAAATCATATAGGCCTATATATATCCATAAATATATATCTCTATATATATCTTTCCATAACAATTATTAATTAATTATATTTATATATAATTTTAAATATTTATAATTAATACAAAAATGATCATTTAAATAATTAAATAACCATGGGCCTTTATTAATTAACTCAATAAGGCTTCATACAAGCCCAAGACCACATCTTTTGGTCTAACTTCCCTTAAGCCCAAATCCAATTAATTTAAATAAATCAAATAATTAAATAAACACTTAAATAAAATAAAAAAAATAAAAACTAATTACACCAAGCACATAAACAAAACAATAAATTACAGCCAAGTCACACCATACCAATAAAACCAACACACCAACAATTCAATCAATATAGTTAAGCATACACACAACAATCATCATATCAATAATTTACAAAATATAAATAAAATAAAACAATTAATCTAAGCACTCAATAAAACAAATCAATTAAAAATTAAAATAAACGCAATTAATTCAAATTAAATCAAATAAATCATTTAAAAATAAAATAAAAGTAATTAATTCCAATTAATAAATCCTTTAAAATATCGGGGTATTACAGGACCCACCTTCTATTTTTTTTTTTTTTTTTTAGGGCCAAGAGGCCATTTGTGTAGCCTCAAATTTCTCTCTCTCTCTCCACGTTTTCTCTTTCCCTCTCATTTCTTCTTTTTCTTTCTTTTTCTACAAAGCTTAAGGCTTTGATATCTCTTCCATATTTGAGATTTTGGAGTTACCGCTTTGGACAAAGTTGGCGAGCTCGTTGAAGCCGTCGTTTTGGTCTGAGTCAATCTCCGTTTGGCCACCTTTGGGGATTTCGAAATTCTAGGGCTTGGGGTGAAAATTTGGGGCTTTTCTTCAAATTGAGGTAGTGGTCCCTAATCTATGACTTTTTAGACTTTTATGAGTCAATTTTTTCATGATTTGTGGTTTAGCATGTTAAATTTGTGTTGATTTCTTCCAAAATATCTTAATTGTTGTATATGAACTATATGCCTATGTGTATTTTATGATTTGTGTGAGAAAACATACTTATGTGATGATTTTTCCATGCCCATTATGTTCAAATTGCTAGAATTGGAAATATGGAAGCATGTTGATTTGTGAGTTATAAAATTTTCCTTTGACGCGATATTGAAAAGCATTAAACATCCATGCATATCATTGGGCATGAAATGGGATAATTTATTTTAAATGAAAATTAAAAAGGTTTTGGGAAAAAGTTTGATGAAAAGTTTGCGAAAACCCGGACGCCATGGAGGTGCTATGTGGTTGGGGATAACTAGCCAACCCTTCCCTCGTGACGCCGTAGAGGTGCTATGTGTCGGATTGCATTAACGCTTTAGAACAATGAAACGAAAATGCTTTGAAAATAGGGAGTGACATTACATGACATTGCATCTCATAGCACGGTTTAGATTAGTCATGACTTGGATAATTGATATTGATATTGTGGTTGTATTTCTCTCGGTACGGCACGATCCTATTTTCCTTACTCCTATTCATTGTTAGGTTCACAGGGTTTCAAAAGGTGTGTCTTAGGAACCTCCTACTGAGTCATTGCGTTCATCCCTTCATTTTTAACATTTTTCAAGGCTCGGGAAAGAAGTGGCGGATGACGGTCCACCACAAACTTAATTCGAAGATTTAAATTTCTTTTGCTACCTTTTTGAGCACTTGTATCCGTTTTGTATAGTATGGCCATGTACTGTAAATATAACATTAGACAATAGTTTAATGTAAAATCAAAAATATATGGCATGTTGTAATGCATGGGAAACATTGATATATTTATATTTTATGTAATCTTTGATGTTTATGATTGTAGAATGTTGTGCATTATTGCCGTGAATTTGGATATTTGGTCGTGTATCAGGTTTGGTGTAGTTTGGCTCACAAAGAGCCCAGAATTTTGGACTTTCAAGCTACACATAGTAGTATTCCAGGGCTCGTTAGCTGACTGACAAACCAATTCGTAGCATTCCAGAGAGCTGAGTGATGGAAAACCTTGTTTCGACCGGCCGAACTTCACCATCAGTCGACCGAAACTCTATCATCAGTCGGCCGATACCCCATCTCTAACCGGCCGACAGTTCACTTTAGAAAAGTCCCTAGAGCACACAATTTTGGAAATCATTTCAACCGACCGACCCTACAGATCAGCCGGCCGAACCTCACTTTCAGTCAGTCGATGAGCTAATTTAGCAAAGTCCCGAGAGTATATGGTTTTAAGGATTGTTTCGACCAACTAACCATCTTAGTCAGCCAGCCAACCATGCATTTTTAGCTGGCCGACGAAAGGCCATCAGCCCATTGACATGTACCTTTGACTTTTCCTTTTAAGCTCAGTTTTAGAAATACTTTGGACCTTTGATTGATCTGTGTATCACCTGTGAGTATAGAAAAGGAAGGGATTGCCCTTATTTAACCTCGGATTCGGGTAAGGACCTGATTAATGGTTTGGACCCACGGGTTCAGGTCATTACAGTAGATTGGTCTAATTTATTAAATTGTAAAGTTTAAAAAGGTCCCTAAATGGTCAAAGGGTAATTCAGTCAATTTCTCATGTCAGGGGTGTCTTTGTCCATTTTTGAACCTTCAAGGGGTGTCTTTGTCTAAAAAATAGGTAAGTTTCACCTATGTGTCCTTTTAGCAAACTTCAAAGGGTGTTGATGTACTTTACCCTATATAATATATTATACATATATATAATATATATTTCAATATCTAGTCCTTGAACATAGGGCCAATAACTTCACTCTTCGAACCAAATTACCGTACATCTTCTTCGAGATACCTTAAGCACTCCCTATGGTGAGTGAGAATGACAGGACAGACCTTGTTTTTGATCAAAAAACCCTAGCCTATGTGTGTGACTTGGTGAGTGAATGCTAGCGAGATGAAGAAACTGTGTTTGGAAAATGACAAGTGTGAGATCGTTGACCTTTATAATGCAAGCCAAAACGTCGACGTTTTGTTTTGTCCTTTTTAAATCATTTCAACTTAGGTTAATTTCACTACACCCCTTCAGGGTCAGATATTACATTGAAACACGTTTCAAAAATTATTATCATTTATGTCCAATTTTACCTTTCAGTCATTAACACCATTAAAAACATACGAAAAGACAATTTTACTCATAATTTTTTTAATACTTTATAGGGTTAAGTGCAAAAAAAAAAAAAAAAAAAAAAAAAAAAGTCCTCATAATATATAAAATGTGCAATTATTCGAAAAACTCTCATACTTTTTTCATCTTAATATTTGCAATAAAATTATTAAATTAACCTTACTTTATCATTAACAAATAAAACAATGACGTCAACTTTTGAACAAATATTGGGCAATTTGCTCAAAAGATGGATAATATTGGAAGTTACATACATTTTTTTTTTTTTAATAGTGGCATTTTTTTGCACATGTTTTATATAGTAAGATTTTGTTTGTTATATAATTCATTCCTATTAAATTTGCAGATTACTATATTTTTAATAGGAATGAATGCTTTGTTTCACCGGCAAATTTAGTAGGAATGAATTTTATAGCACGGGCAGTGGCTTGATTTGTATGATTTTGGGTTGATTTGTGTTAGTGAAACTCTACGTCGTCGTGGAGCAAGAATGTCCACTTGATAGGAGAGAAAAGAAAGGAAAATTTAATATAAATTGTATTTGGGTTGTTTAAAATGAGAGAAATAAAAGAATTAAGAGAGATAAGGAAAATCACATCCCATCCTCCAAAAAAAGAGAAGATTGGATGGTTTAAGTGGTATTTTATAATTTTAAAATTATGCAAAATTATTATTCTATTCATGTCTCATCTAATTAAAATGATATGATACTAATTTGATTGTTATTTTTTCTTTTCTTTTCTATCTAATCCATATATATTTTCTCTCCTATTTTTTCTAAACGGGCTCTTGTACACAAATAGTCTAGAGTTTTCTAGACCAGTATTGTCTTTTGGTTATACGGTTGGGTTTGGCCCTGTTGTTCTTTTTGTTGCTGTTTGTGATTGGGCCTGTTTCGTGGGCTTGCTTCGTTTCTAAGCCTTGACCTTTGAACACTTGCCACTTGTAACTAGTCGTTATTACTTAATCAAATTTACCTTATTAAAAAAATAAAAATAAAAATGGGGAGGGGGAAAGAGGAGAGGGAGAGACATGATTTGTCAGATGGGTTTCAGGGCAACCCTATAATAAAATGGGCATAATTCATCTTTGACTTTTATATTTAACTTATGAACAAAGTGTCTAAATTTTTGACTAGCTACGTCGTCCATGAGCACCAACTTAATATGATAGTAAGTTGGGATACATAAAACTCGGTGCGCATAATTTACAGTCAACTGAAGTTAAAGTTGTCAAATTTCAATTTTTCTTATGTTTCAATACCGTGAATTCTTGAAATACCAAGGCTCCCCTTTTTACTATTATGTTGAATGATTCAATTTTCCTCACTTACTTTACTAATTTTGGACTCACCTATGAGCCAGAATTAAGCTTTAAGTCCTTTAATATCTTATATTTGTGGTGAAAATGGAGATTAAAAGCAGTATAAAATATAAAATAATTAAAAAACATTAATTTTATCTTAAGGTGCTAAGGAGGAAATTATTAAGTAGATAGGGACCACCACATCATTTGTGGGACCACCAATCCTCAATTGCCATGTCAGATTTTTATTTATTTATAGAATGAGTAAAAAATGCTGCCAAGAAGGTATTAACATTGTGTCTCATTCCGTCTAATTTGTAAGGTACATATGAATGTGATACAGGTATTAAATAACAAAAATGGTCTGCTGAAAAGTAAAGGATTAATGGGTTATGAATAGAAATTTGTGGTTGATTCATGATCAAATTACATGAAGTGGTGATGTTGAAAAGTGTACTTCCACAAATCAACCTATATCATTAAATAAAATGTTGTAATTAAGTCAATGGAGTAGGTCAATTTGCGGCAAGTTTAATAAACCAACGGATAAAACTGAGATATTCAGAATTGATCAACTTTATTAGAAATATAAAGAACATTAACATACTATGATAGGTCGAAATTAGTGGTGAGATTGATGGACCTAAGAAGAAGATATATAGAAAAGCCATTACTCATGTTAAAATGCTATAGTAATGACTCTTCCAGCTTTGAGACAGGATTATCTTTCTGTACTTTTTTGGTATTCCTCACTGGAATAGCAAAGTTCTCACAAACATGCTTATGGCATATATTTTGGTACCAAATATTAACAAACAGTGTAAAAGAAATCACACAAACATAAATGCTTCTTGCAATAATATCATCCTCAAACACTATCGAGGATATAAGTCAGTAATTGAAGCTTGATTTGCTGACAGACTGGTAGATATACTCTTTGATTGACTGGAATCAGTCACACCTGAATCATATTCTCTCAGCAATGGCATTTCTGGATTGTCGCGACTGTGCATAAAAAATGCAGGCTCTGAAGGTACTGAGAGAGTGAGAGAGAAACTACTAAGCATTAGAACAACTGAAGCCATGGTTGGTCTGTCGGCTTCGTTTTCTTGAACACACAGCAACCCAATGTGGATGCATCTCATTATTTCACCCATTGAACTTGAAACAGCTCTCAAAGTGGAATCTATCAGATTTGAAGCTGTTCCGTCCCTCCAGTTTTTCCAAGCCTGCAATAGTTCAACAATGTGCAAAATTGATATTAAACATGAACTTCCGTAACTAGTAAAAAAAATTCAGCACTCGTAATTCACCACGGATATTCTACTTACATAGCTTAGAAGGTCCTCTACATTCTCCCCATTTCGGAAACAGTTATTCCTCTGACCAGTTATGATTTCCAGAACTAACACGCCAAAGCTGAAGACATCTGACTTGATTGAGAAATGCCCATGCATTGCATACTCTGGAGCCATATAACCACTGCAACATTTATTTGCTAGTTGGTGTTATTAGTAGTTGGAAGACAGTATTCATACTTTCAAGAAGACATGAAACCATATCTCATGTGTCTCTAGACATTTAACCAACTAGTTACTTTTCTTGCATCTTCAACATTTTGGTAGGGTTTTTTTTTTTTTTTTTTTTTTTTTTTTTTGTTACTTAGATGATACATAGTATCCACTTGAAAATGCATTAAAAGATTCTCAAATTTACAATTATAAGATTTCAAATGGTTATATAACACTTACTAGGTCCCAACAATTCTACTTGTGTTGCCTTGAGTTTCATCCGGTGCAAACAATCTTGCCATGCCAAAATCTGAAATTTTAGGATTCATCTCTGTATCTAGCAGAACGTTGCTAGTTTTGAGATCACGATGAATAATCCGAAGCCTAGAATCTTCATGAAGATAAAGGAGTCCCCGAGAAATGCCTCCTATGATCTTGTAACGCCTATCCCAATCCAAATGTGCACGCTTTAAGGGATCTGCATGTTCATCCAAGCATATAAGTGACAGTGAGGTTAGGTTGTGTATTTTCTAGATTTGCTTCCCTGCTTTCAAATAAACTTTATAGAAGTATGATCTATCGAGCAGAAGCATAGTAATCAAACCAAATATGAAATGATCGAGGCTTGAATTGGGCATGAACTCGTAGACAAGTAGCCTTTCTGTTCCACTGAGGCAGAAACCAAGGAGCCTAACCAAATTCCTGTGTTGAAGCTTGGCCACTAGCATCACCTCATTCTTAAATTCTTGTTCGCCTTGTCCAGAATCCCGGGACAGCCTCTTCACAGCTATTTCTTCTCCATTCGAAAACCTACCCTGAAGATTTATCAAAATAGATGTTAAAAAAATGAAAAATCACACTTGGCCCTACCAAAAAAAAACTTTCAAGTAGTGTAAATTTTTTAATTTAACACTCCACCGGTAAAACATTATTCGTATGAATTTTCCAAACCTTATAAACAGCACCGAATCCACCTTGTCCGAGCTTGTTACTATCAGAGAAGTTATCTGTTGCAACTCTAACAGTTTCAAAGTCATATTGCAACGATTCCACACTTCTAATTTCATCCATATCTTCAGAAAAAACTGTAAGTTCACAAGTAAGCTAATAAAAGAAATGGAATTAGGCTAAAAAAGAGCATTTAATTAATTTATTTCCCCCCTTCAATTGAAGTCATTTCTTCACATTAAATTAGAAATAAATTTTGTCATATAGCCTGTGATTAATGTCTTGAAGCTTCTATACTACGGAGTATTTTTCTTAAGAGGCAATTAATGAGTTTAACTGCAACAAATGGATCCTAATTTCTACATTAAATTCTGAATATAACCATTTACCCTCAGCTTCCTCAGTTGGCTTCCTCTGCTCCCTCTTTCTCAAATAGATGCAAATGCCAATGATAACTAGCACAAAGATGATAACCGTTGGGACAACGATAATGATGACAGTTCGAGCTGTGTTACTGTCCTTTCCTGCAAAAAATAGCAGAAATTTGTTCCGATTAAATCACGTTGAATGCTGAATTTCAAAATGTTTTACGAGGACAGTAAATCTAATCATACAAAAAAGTTTCTAGATTTACTAATTTCAAAATGAAACAACTACCATACACTTTCAGAATGATTTCAATGGAGAAAACGGAAGGAAAAGCCAAGAAAAAGTAGTGGGACACAACAGGGAGACCGGAGGGGATAAGAAAAACATTTCACGTAACCAAATAGATCATAAAGAACAGAAGTGATGCAGTACTCATCTAGACAAAGAATAATAGCCACTAAATACCAAGAAAAACAATATAATTTATGTTTTGAGGTTAAAAACAATCAAAATGTGTGCTAATGAATGCCATGAATATCCGGCCTAGCTAGCTACAAGCAGTATGTGTATGTCCCGTACCTGGTGGCGGTGGTGGTGATAGTGGCGGTGATGTTGGTATTGGTGGTGGTGATGGTGCATCAATGATGGTGTCATTGTAGAAACGGTTGACCTCAAATCTAAGATTGCAGCTGGCTGCAACAACTCTCCCTCCCCTTTTTCCATTGCAACATACCGGAATGTCTCCAGCAGCCTCATCTAGGCAATTGATGCATTGCAGGTCAGATAAATCAGGGGTGCACTGCACAAGCGCATATACTGTTTGGAAATCCGGTCCAGTCCTGTTCCCGGTGGCAAACTTGCGAGCAGAGCCACCAGATGCAGCTTGGCCTTTTAGGCTGTCCAACAACGTTCTCAACGACTGATTGAACTGATCCACATTAGAAACATTGTTTTGGTTCCACATATAAAAAGCAGGAAGATATTCCATGTTATGGGATATAGAGCGGTTGGAATAACGCAACATACAATTGTCATACCATCCAATTGCCTCCTTTTGGTTGGGACAAAGTTGTGTGAGTTTGGCAGTAGAGTCATTGACACAACTACGACAGATATGGAGCTCAACATCTCCTCTACAAAGTGCAATTGCATTTACTCTGTCAGAGTTTTCGCCATAGGAGGAATTGTAGAAGCCATAGGCGATGTCGGTATCGGAAGCGAGCGAGGAGAGGAGGCTGTCAAGGTTTGCCTTGTATATGCTATTGCTGGTGTAGTTTCCACTGCCTGAACATACTTGATATAAGAAATCAGGCTGAGAAATGATGACACCAACAAGGCTTGTGAGGATGTGAGAAATGAAGAAAAGCTGCCTCCAACAAGGTATTATTAACATTGTGTGTCTCATTCTGTCTAATTTGTAAGATCTTGGAGAGAGTTATTATACACATGAATGTGAATAACAAAAATGGTCTGCTGAAAAATAAATGATTAATGGGGGTTATGAATACAAATTTGTGGTTGCTTCATGCGTTTTTGTCAAATTATACCAAGTCATGAACTTGAAAAGTATACGCCCACACAAATCAACTAATATACTTAGACAAACTGTTGCAATTAAGTGATTGGAGTTGGTCAATTTGCGGCATATTAAACTGAGATTTTCAGAATTGATCAAATTCATAGAACATTAAAATATCATGGTAGGTCGAAATTAGTGGTGAGATTATGGACCTAATTAAGAGGAAGATATATAGAAAAGAAAAGAAAAAAGTCATTAATTATATGAATATGATATAGTAATGATTTAAATTTATTATATTATATTATCATAGACATAAAATAATTGAATCCATGTGAGTGGAAAATTTTTGAGTCCTAATGTCTTGCGTACAAGGGTTGATTATAAAATGTGAAAATTGCATGTCTCATTTATCCAAGTTCTCATACGTGGTGTTTATAAAAGCATTTGTTTGACTTTGTGGTTTCGACAATTGAATCTACTATTTGGCTAATTCAAAGTTTTACACAAATAAGTTTTGATTAACAATAAACAAATGTAAAATAATTTTTTAGAAATTATTATTTTTATTTTTCAGTATTTGATTGTTATTAAATATTTATTAAAAAAAAATTAACAAAAATAATTTATTTATCAATTTTAGACAAGTAATTTTACATTTTTCACCCGTTTGACTCTACTTCAATTTTAACTTAAATCTTTACCGAACACTAAGAAAATAAAAAAAATAACTTTTCAAGAAAGAATTAAAACAAAAAGTCAAAATTGACTAGAGAATCAAAAAAATATATATATATTTGGAGGAGAGAAATATTGATGGGTACGTGACTGGTAAGGGACAAACTGGAAAATTTTATTATAGTTTTCCACAGTTGACCTTATAAAGTCGGTTGGTAATTTGGAGGAGAGAAATATTGATGGGAACGTGACTGGTAAGGGACAAATTGGGAAATTTTATTATAGTTTTCTACAGTTGACCTTATCAAGTCGGTTGGTTGATTTGCTATTCTTCAAAATTATTTTAATGGAATGAATAATGAATATGGTTACCTCATCTTTAAACATATTTTAGGATGATAGATTAATAATATAGAATATAGATGAGATGATTTTAGGATGATAGATTAATAATATAGAATATAGATGAGATGAGATGAGATGAGATGAGATGAACCCACTCCCGACCTCATAAATAACTTGCGTATGCCGAGGGCTAGTTGGCGAACTCGTGATTAATGAATCTAATGTTATGCAAAGTTGCCCGTTATTATATTTTTTTTCCGTCGTTCAAAGGTACAAAGGTCAAAAGTCAAGATAATAGGACAGAAAGTATAAAGTCAAGCCAGAAAGACATACAAATCTTGAAACAAAGCAAATTAATGAAGAACAGACTCTAAATTTGTAAAGAAAACAGAGTCCAACACTCAACGGGGTTTTTCTATGCCCGACTTTCTTCTGCAAACGGAACCACCATGGGAGAACGCATCAAACTGGAGAGACCGAAAGGCCTGGTCATCAGCACGACAATCGCTCCAAAATTACAACTACAAGGCGCTCCGACACACAATAAACCCTGCACAAAATCAAATCAAAGGGAAAAAGATTAAATCAAGGCAGGAAAAACCGACCTAGACTAGAGATCTAGTCGGAGGAAACAACAGATCCACCCATGTGATCCGAAAACGAACCCAAGTAAAAAAAACAAATCAAGCGGAAGAAAATAAAAACGACGTAAAAAAAGCACCCACAGAATGCACTAATTGAAATACACCGAGTTTATTGTAGCCGTGGGAGGCGGCCATCATCTCCCCACTCCCATGGAAGGGAGCAGGGAGGCAGAGTGATGAAGAAGACGAAGGGGTTAGAGAGAGGTAGGAGAGAAAATTGGGGCGACTGCTCTATGTTTATCTGTTTTTGTTTATTTTAGTTGCCGTGTTATCACGAAGCATAAATATCATATAAAACAAGTGCATCTTACATTTAAAATTGAAGAGAAATTAATTCAAATTTTAAATTAATTCATTTAAAAAATTTTATTAATTTTTTTTTCAATTTCAATTTTAAAGCAGATGTTCAGAAACGCAATATGAATGCAATCCAACGAAAAATTTATTATATCCTGCCATTTAAATAAGGGCAAATTGTAAAAAATCCCCCTCGAGTTTCACCAGTTAGCAAAAAACACCCCTTGTGAATTGTTTTAGCAAGAAACCCCCCCTCAATTATCATGAGGGGGTATTTTAACTACTGTCTATTTAAGGGGTCATCTTTTGGATGAAAATACCCCTTACACATTACATTGTCCATATCTCATCCTCAGCCGTCGTTTGTAAATCGCTACACCCACCACCATCACCTGCATCATCCATAATTCCTCATCACCGTCGACAACCGATCAAGTTCAATTTTTGTTGCTGAATAATCTTAACAGCAATATTATGAAGCAGCACAATGAATCTAGTAAGTGAAGGATATATTCCAACTTCCAGACTGAATGCTTATCCCCAACAAAGGGGCAAAAAAGAAAAAAAAATTAAATTAAGTAAAAATTTGATAAAACCTCAAAGCTGTTTTTGTGTGTGTGTGTGTGTGAATCTGAAGAATACTTTGCCCCGTCGGCGAAACTAACCCTTCTCGGTGGTGTATTCGTTAGCCGCTTCATCCCAACCAAGAAAACAGAGCGCGGCTCTCCGATGCTCATCTCCACCGCATGCCGCCTCGGAATCGCTCGAACGGGACTTCTGGGTAACACGAGTCGAGACTCAAATAAGGCAATTTGAACTTCCTCCATAGCTTTCTGTCTTTGATCAACATCAACAAATGAGACGAGTCAAAATAAAAAACTGCAAGCCGAATCGGAATCGCTTAAACTAAACTTCCGGCGACATCACGTTCTCTCCTCTAGCCATGTACCGGTCCCACAACTGCAGCTCGTCGAAGAGTATCCCGATGAAGCTCTGGTGCTAGAACCGAGTCAACTCGCGATTTGACTCAATGGACTGTGATGGTGAAAACAGATAGTTATAGATGTACCGGAACGAATGAAGGGGAATGCAGTGGCGAGGATGAAGCGGTCGGCAAATACACAGCCAGGACGGGTCAGTTTCGCAGACGGGGCATAGTATTTGTGTGTTACTTTCTAGGAAAATTAATTTATTCTTCAGATTCACACACACACAAACAACTTTGAGGTTTTATGTGATACCCCTCGGATCCTGAACGCGGGTTGATTAGGCCCAGGCCCAACCCGAGGGATATCAGACAATTAAAGTATTTTAAAACAAACACGGATTACAAAATAACGAAGAAAATAAATAATAACGCTGAAAGAATTCTAAATTAAAAAAATTCTCAAACTATAATTATTAAAATCCGATAATCCAAAACTCTATAAGTTTAACAACTCGGGAATCCATCCTTGTGGACCCCTAATAAAATCCTAAACTGAAACTAAAATAACTGAAATGAAACATAAAGCTAAACATAAAGAGTAGTCCTACGTAAACAGAGGAGTGAGTGTCTGTATCTGCTCTGCACGTCCAAGCTCTAACCCTAGAACTGACAAACACTTGGAAAATAAAGAGTGGGTCAGGGCCACATGCAAGTCCTATTCTACTACGATCCAAACAGTAATCTGATACGCAGATACATCCTAGATAGCTCAACAATATCTATCTAGTCCATACATATATATATCCACACTAAGGGACATTCACTGGACTACAGTAAGGGTCTCAACCTGAATAGAAGGCAACATGCGAAAACGCACCCAAAGGTAGGCATGAGTACCTAGACCTAACAGGGTACACCTCAACCTACTTAAACCAGCTACGCATCCACTGCGTATACGCACCCTAACCAACGAGTCTGAGACTCAAGCTCATCTCGTGGTACCATAAACATATATATAAAGTCCGTCCAAAACCAGAGTATGTCATTCAAATACTTATTAAGATGACATACAATATACAAATTAATTAGTCACTCAACTTATTCAGTTGATATGACTTAACTACCATACATTAATCCAGGAAGCCATTCAACTTAGTCGCAGTTGATCTAACTTAGTCACAATTAGGATTCAATATTTTTCAATCCGTTCCTTTAATCCGATAGGTTAGGTTTAAGCGTTTTGAGCTAACACATCCCTAGTATGTCACCATCCCATACCGGTGCATACAATCCTCCATATCCTTATAAATTATAACACATGCATAACAAGCTAGTAATTTACAATCCAAACCATTATCCATATCATTGCAGAAAAGTATTTAAAATTTCAGCAATATAAATCCCAGCATTAATTCATGTAATTGCACTAGAGAATTTGATATTCCAACAATTAACATCCAGAACATGCATAGTTCAAACTTTAAACATAAAATGATCTATCATGCATCCAATATAAGATTTATAATCTTATTACAATTCATTATGTTGCCCAAAATTTAACTAAGCAATTTGGTTCTTTCCATCCATTATCAATATGCTAAGTTGTATTCTTTTATACTGATTCATCCTTTAAATAATTTATAAAAATTATTTTCAAATCCATTTTGTCCAATTCCTTAGGCCTAAGAGATGTATTATACACTCTAGAACCTTCCCTAGTCCATTTAACCCATTAGATTTAATTAAAATAGGTTTTAAAACAAATCTGGGCATTAAAAACCAAAACCCCAACTGAGCAAGCTAAGTTACAATTGAGCAGCCTCAGTTGCTAACTGAGGGGGCTGAATTGCTAACCGAGGGGACTCAGTTGCTAACTGAGGGGGCTGAATTGCCAACCAAGGGGACTCAGTTGCTAACCAATGGGGCTGAATTGCCAACTGAGGGGACTCAGTTGCTAACCGATGGGGCTGAATTGCTAACTGAGGGGGCTCAGTTGCAAACTAAGACGCCTCAATTACTGCTGGGGTCTTCTTCTTCGTCCGTTCAGCCTCTGTAAATTCTAAAACTTCATTGTTAAGGCCCCTAAGCTTCCACCTAAGTCCCATACGTCCATACTAAATTATTTTAAGTGTTTTAGTAGGCAAAGATTCAAGTTAAACTACAAATCATACATAAAGAACCAAGAAAATAATGAAATCACACACAAGTATATATAACCATAAAACTCTCAGTTTCAGTCCGTTAAGCATGCATGGTTACTTCGTTTTATCACTAGTTAAACCCCTGGAGTCTAGCTAGGTATGCA